TAAATTTGACCCCATTCCCGTATCCTCCCTGTGCTTGTATGATGGCCCCCTCGACATCCCGAGCAATCCGCATCGCCTCCATCAATTCCGATGGGTTTTGAATTCGCACCTGGACTTTTACATCATCACGCAATCCCGCCAGGAAGTACCCCAGTACCTATTCATCAGGTATGCCCCTCGTCTGCCCCATCAACACCTCAAAATCGCGAACGAACTCCTCCACCGTACTCGTCTGGCGTAAAGTCGCCAACCTCTCGAACACCGTACCCCTAAAAACTCCTCCAAACCGGTTGATCATGGCTCCCTTTAGTCCTTCCCATGATCGATTTCTCGCTTTCTCCCTCCAAAAGGTGAACCAATATGCCGCACTCCCCTCCATACTGACGTACACAATTTCGACTTTCTCCTCATCACTGGACACCTTCTATATATTGAAAAATCTCTCGGCTCTATTGAGCCAACTCAGTGGTTCCGCCCCATCAAAAGAGGGTAATTCCACCCTTCTCCTCCACGGTTTTTGTTCATCATTCCTATCGCCGGTTCCTCCGTCTCCGATCTCCCTCCCAATTCTTTGTCGGTTGTCATTCACGGAACTGTCATTGGAGCTCCCTTCTGCCTGATCGACTTGCTTCCCCAACATCTTCATGATTTGTTGTAAGTCCCGCCTTACCGCTACCGATTCAGCCTTCATCCCTTCCATCGTTATCTCAATCGCTTCCAATCTCGCCTCCGCTGCACTCTCCATTTCTCGGATTGTCACCCTCCCCAAATTTGGGATCCGGCAGGTCGGACCAAATTGTTAGGTTTCCAATCAATGAAACCTGAGGATTGAATCGCACTAACACTCCCTGATCCTGAATAACATCCACACTTCTTATTCACAGTAAGAAAGTCATTTACAAGATAGCTATGGGAGCCTAACCTCCCCCACAGGAATACTGTTTCCTGTACAAAGAATGTAAGTAATCAAAAGTCCCCTTCAACAGCTAACTACTTTCTTTATATACAAGTTTATCCCGCGCCTTTTCTAACTGTTAAGACAGTTAGAGTAACTAACTCTATTAACTCTTCCTTCTCCTCTCATAGACTCTCAGCCTCCTATCAATAAGCCTCCTACACTGCTACCACAGGGCCAAGAAAGGAGCTCTTAATACCAATTGATAGGACAACCAGTAGCTACAGAAAGATCTAAGACAGGTTCCTGAATGATTTTATTATGAATAGAGTTGTTCTGCCAATGTGGTAGGTATACAACCCAAGATGCCTCAGAACACACATATCTTTTCGGGTTTTCCTCCTAAAACTCCAAAAACTAAAAACAACAGCCTAAACACAGACTATATATACTAGTCTATTACAACCTGTTACAGCTGCAGGAGGTTATAACTACCTCCTTTATTTATTTCTCCTAGTATAGACTTTTCCAATGAACCTATCATATATCCAGAACAACTGCTAGATACTAGAAAGACCACTCAAGGTGACTTAGAAGTTCTTATCAAATGGAAACATCTTTCAAATATTGAGAATAGTTGGGAATCTGCTGCCTGCATTCATAAAGTATCACCTTGAAGACAAGGTGAATCTTCATGGAGGGGGTATTGAAAGGTTTGGTACAGTTTACAAAAGAAAGAAAAGAGAAGTTAGTTAGTACAGTTGTAATTACATAACTGTAACAGACTATTATAAATAGTCTTATTAGGAGGTGAGCAGTTAGATTTTGGAGATAGAGAAGGAAAAGTTCAGGATTATTGTGGAGAGTGAGATTCTCGTGAACAACCTCTGGGGAAAATAAGTTGTAACATTCTAAGCCATTTCTATGCCTATTACATTGGTAGGTACAAAATTGGAAATAAAGCAATAAAGATTTACAAGCCAGAGTATTGTTTCCCGTTGTACTTATCATGGTTCTATCACCAACACACTACTCCCTACTTTAATTTAATGATTACTCTAGCACACTTAGATTTAATAATTACATTTAATAATTACTTCTAACACTTATAAACAAATATTATTACAATAAATACAGAATTGTATTCACATTTTCAACAATTGTCATTCATGTTTGCGATACTAACATTTCAACCATGTTCATGATAATGCTGATTTATTTTGCTCATGATTAGTGAGCACGTTAGCCATGTGATCACACTATAAATTAGAGATTAACATGCATACAAGAACACAAAATTTTTGTAGCACATGTTTCAACTAGTTACATGTCAAAAGGGTTTCACAGATGTTTCTTCTTCTCTTTACCAATAGGATTAAAGAATGAAAACACAGCTTGCTTCGAAAAATAGTTATGCCAATCTCCAACATGTATTTCAGATTCACACTTACTTTGTCGGTAAAAACAGCACAGTTAAAATATATTCCAGGATTAGGTGAAAGATATAAGTACATGGAAACAGTGTTATCAATTGCATGTAATAGTGCAACAATTGCGGACTTATTTTGCATTGTGGCCTTGGTCTACTATATAAAAGCCATTGTGACATGATTTTAATATCTTTCACACCAATTAGCAGCTATTTTCCTCGTTTTTCATTAGATAGAGTTTTGATCTCCTCTCCTATCTAACTTCTATTAAACACAAACTATCTAACACGCAGCTCTGTTTTGTGTTTCTGGCCAACCATGAGTCAGTAATCTGGAAGCGTTTTAGGACAACTAACTAACCTCTTTTGCTATGGTATATTTCCTGTTTTCATGGCATGTCTACATGTTGTTTCCTCAGTTCTTTGATTCTTCATATGTTCTGTTCAGATAGGCAATTCAAAGTTGCAGATAATTGGTAGGTGTCAGTTGTTATTGACTATGTGCAGCTATTGACTATGATTTTTTTACTTTTAATTTTGAATATCTTTACTTTTTGGAGAACTTATATTTTAAGCATTTATGTGTATACAGTACATATTATTTAGTTTGTATTCATAAACTTCAGTATAGAACCTATCCTACCATCCATTATGCCACTATAGTGGTTTCAAGGCTGGATGCCATGCACCAATATTTTGGATTGATTAACAAATATGAAGGTGACTAAAGTCTACTGCTTAGAGTTGTATTTGAGAAACAGGAAACCAAAAAGAATTGAGTTAATGACTAAATTCTTAGAACTTGAAGAGTAGATAACAAAAATCTGCCTGACAAATGACAATTGCGTATTGGTGACTTTTCAAAGTTCAATTCATAAAGTTAAACAATCTATCTAAAGCCATGTAAACTTGTTACAACTAATAAGATTTTGCCCAAATTTTAAAGGGCGCAACACAATGCAAGCGCTGGTTAATGAGCCAGTGTAATTGTTGCTTAAATATAAACTGGCATAAACCAAGACTGAAGAGAGCATATGTATGGATTTTCCATCAGATACTATGTGAAGAAAGTATACATACCTGATTCCTAATATATGACAAACTCACACCACCTACCTTCTAGGCTAAAATGTAACAGAACTTCCATTATCATAAAATTTAGCACACGATTCATGTCCTCCCAAAAGCTTTTGATGGAAATACAAAATGGTGTTGATGAAATGTTCTATTGAAGTTACCCTCTTCACCAAAAATTGAGTAAATGATATTTATTGAATTTAACTCTCTTCAACTTTTGGATAATAAGGAGAAAAATAAAAGAGAAACCATGCATCTAAACTCCATATGTGCTATTTATATAAATAACCAATTAATAAAATAACTGCTTATTAATTACATTATCTATAAGCAAATAACTAAAATACAAGATTCAGATATCATAGTAGCATACAATTAATTCAATTAAAACCTTCAGATAGAGAAACAATTCAAAAACAAAGTGAAAACTGGAAAATTACTATATTCCTCAAAGAGATCGTTTACCAACCTGTGTTTCTTCTATCCATTTTTTAGTAGATGTGTTTGTCAAGAAAAGCATTTCTTTTTGTATTAGCCATATTTACCATGAAGGCAATACATCTGGGAACAAACTGGCCAGTTACGGTAACAAGGTCTTTTTGATGGGCTTCAATCACCCCCTTTGTAAGGGAACATTTCAATAGGGATAGGCATGGGTTCCCTGGTTTTATATTTTCCTAACCCTTCCATGGGTTTTGGCCTATGTCCCCCCATGGTCCTGTTTTTTCTTTTGTTTTTATATTAGCAGGGCACGCTGCAGATGATTGTTAGAGTCTTGGGTGCAGACATTGTTGAGATCATTGAATATATAGTTATGTTTTTATATGCTCCCTTTTGAAAACAAAAAAAAAAAAAAAAAAAAAAAAAAAAAACTTTCGTTGTTGTCTTGAAAACTTTTACAAACATTCAATCCCCAACAGGCAGAAAAAGAATAATATCCTACATCAAAGAGGTTATAGACAAATTGGCATTGAGTTTACATGTTTCAAAAGCAAAACCTGGGGGACAAAGTGTCACTTTTTAAACGTAGGCAGGTATAGTGACTGATTTTTTATTCAAACCATTCGGGTAAACCATTGACGATTCTATATTTCTCAACCATATTATTCAAAAAACCTAGTGGATACTCAACTCCAGAAATTCTCCTTCCATCTCTATTGAAGAAAAGTGAAAAAGATTACCGAGCTGCAAGCAGAGTAATATTAACAGAACTGCTAGATATGGAAATTTTCAGATTGAAAATTATTAAGCGCATGACAGAATAAGTCTATCACAATAAACTAATATATAATCAAAATAAAATAGATAAATAAAAAGTGTACTCCTAGAATGTTTCAACAAGCAGTTAAGCCTGCATTATTTGAGAGAATTGCGTCAGTTGAAAAAAATAAAAACCACTCCCGCGTCTCAATCTCAGTTAGCTCGAAATAATTAATTAAAACAAAATCAACCAATGCAATAAATACTAAAACATGAATTATCAAGAATAAAAAGAAAAATCCACTCACAAGATAACAAAAATCCCAAATTATGACATTCCATGAAAAATTATCTCGGGAAACGAAGACAAAATCAGCGATCAAAAGATGAGAAGTGTACCGGTGAGCATAATGATGGAAGATTCTGGAAAACTGAACTTGTTGATGAGAAGGTATTTCATGCACTTAGCGTCGTTGATGCATCCCTTGAGCTCGTGCCTCGAGAACCGGTACGAGATGCCTATGATGACGGCCTTCTTGCGGCCGTGGGGGTTGGGCGGGGGTCCGGGCGGCGCGTGGTTGTAGGGGGATGGTGGCGGATGCGGGTGGTAGGAAGCCGGGGGCTGAGAAGAGACGGCGCGTGGGTCGGCGATGAGAGTGACAGCGTGGCAGAGGGCGCAGCGGATGGATCCTGCGCCAGGTGGCAGCTGTAAAGGGGTGCGGCAGTTGGAGCAGTTGACCAGCATGTTGCTGTACATGATTCCCTGCCAACACAGAAAGGCTTGTAAATTAGGGAATATGGTAGGGGTATGATTGAAATTTGGCGTGTGGTTTCGATTCCTTGGGTCCGAATAAGAGGCTGAAGGGTGTCAAACTAATTAACAGAGTTTTTGTTTGTGAGAATGAATAGAGGCAAAAGCGTGTTTCTTTTATTTATTATTTATTTCAGTAAGGTTCTGTTAGGATTTGGTGAAGTTAATTTCCTGGAATTTTAATCGAAGATTCATTTGACCTTCCTATACCTTCAAGCCCCAATTTCACACATATGTCACGTTTCGGGAATTTAAATAATATGAGACATATATCGTAATTTAAATTTAAATATGTTTTTATTTGAAATTGGAATATTATTTCTTTTTAATTAAATGTATTTAGTCTTTTAATCTTGTAAAATATTATTTTTAGTTTTAAGGTTATACCACGTTATTCATGTTAAACATTTGGTAAACTAGTTTTTATTCAACATTTTTTACCTAAAGTAAATTTAGGTACATTTTTAAAAAAATTAAATATTTAAATCTCTTTTTAGTCCTTTAAATTAAGTATATTAATTTTTTAAACTTTTGATTTCTATTATTTTTAGTTCATAGGGTTAGATAATATTAGTGATATATGATGTAAAACATTCCATAGTTGATAACAAGCATAAATCAACATTAAATATATAAAAATACATTTACAAATCGAGAAAAATTTGATTTCAACTTTAAAATGATAAATAAATTTTTATCAATTAGGAGATCTATACAATTTAAAAATTATATATGTAAGCGTCATTTATATTTTATCTGTGGAGTATTTTTATTATTTCTCAAATCCCCTACCAGTATTTCTTTTGTTTATTTATAATATACAATCAAGTGAATAAACCACAAGAGACACAAACCATAAGGATAAAGTAATATATTTAATAAGAAAAAGACTTATAAATAGTTAAAAATTATTAAAACAAAAATCGCGAAGCATTAACTTCATTCAAACATACATAATTATGTAGATAACCTACAACAACTACCTCTAGAGGATTTCCCAGTATTAAGCCAAACACTTGAGATTTCGCACCTATCACAAGGATACCAATAGATTTTGGCTTATAAAATCATGTCTCTATCCAATCTTCATATATGACAAGGTTAGTTCACTTATGACCACTAGAAGGAATCATTTTCATTACATTTTTTATCATAAGAACCTTTATCGACTCTCACTAACTAAATATTTTATTCTATGTGAGTTAGAATACATAGTAGAGTTTGGGATAATCTCCATCTGGGCCACAACTCAATACACTTATCACAAGAGTGAAATGGTTTCTCCTTTAAAAGCCATTCCACCTCCATCACATTTCAATCACACATCATCATCTCATTCAACATTATCCACCATTAAAATTCTTTCACACACACATATTAAACACTAAACATTACAATAAACATTACCAAGATAGTAAGTACAGTCACAAGAAAGTAGCCAAAGAACAATATATCACACTTAGTTCATTCATCACATTCTTATATAGTCTTAAGTCCTCACATACTGTCATACTACGAACACTCCATTTTTATCTCTTTTTCTTTGATAAAAGTGTTTTATTAGTTTTAATTAGTTTTCAATTTTCAAGAATTAGAATAGATTTATGGTTTTTGTGTGTAAACAGGTGTTTTGTGAAATCTTTGCTAAAAAATTGTTTTTAATGGCAAATTTTGTTGAAATAAAAGATTTCCTTTTTCTAGAAAAATAAATAATAGGAAATTCATAAAAGAATAATAAAAAAATATTAGAAGTTTCTTTTAGCTTTAGAAAGAGAAATTTGTGCCCAAACAAATTGTTGACCTAGTCAACACCATATCCTAGACCTAGTTATTGAACCACGTCTGTTGGACCAAAGTAGACCAAAGGCTAAACCAAGGCACAGTGAGCCAAGCCAAGGCAAAGTTAAATAATTAAGAATATAGATTTTACAGAAACAACTCAGAAAACATAATAATATAATGTTCAACTCCCTAAAATTGTGAAATTGACTTCTCTAAACACAAACCTCTAATGGAATATCTCGATAGGTTAAAGAAATATGTATTATAAACCATGTGTAAAAGTTTAAGGTCAATCCAATGGTTAACAAAGTAGAAACAAGAGTTTTACTGAGACAATTCCAAACAAACAAAAATAAAGTGACCTTTAGACTTCTCTCAAACTTATGAAAGTTATTTTTGTAACCACATACTTCTAATGATTAATCACACTCGTTAGATTGAAGAAATATATATTATAGACTATGTGTAAAAGTTTTAGTTCCATCCAACAGTCAAAAGTAAAAAAGAAAAGGATTTTATCAAGATTATACACATTCTAATATTTAATATCTCATTTCAATAACACAATAGGTGATAAAGAATCTTCCAATGGTACGAATTTAAGGACAAATTCTCTTCAAGAAAAATGGTATGATAAAGGACTATATCCTGAATATATGAGAAGAACTTAAAGAAGAACATTTACAATTTAAAGGATCTATGAAAAGGTCAAAGATCAAAACATGTCTCCTTGAATCGTATAATGTTTCATGAAGAAATGAATTTAAAGAATATGAAAATCATGAGCACAACTAAAGAATAATTTAGAAAATTAAATAAATTGTAATTTTATTTTAATTGCAAAACCATTTATTTTTGTTTTTAAATTTTCAAGTTATTTTTGGAGCCAATATTTCTGGACTTAAAAATTTGTGCCTATATATATGGGTATTAAATACATATGTAGATATTTTTTGAGTCATAATATATGCATTTACATTTTTTAGAGGGGATTCTCTTGGTTTTTGGATTATAACTCTAATTCTTATCAAAGATTAACATCTTTGTGACAAATCTTAACTTGACTTATCAATCTGTTGTATTGTGGTGTTCTCATCTCTCTTACTCTTCTCTAATTTAATTTTGTTGTGTCCTTGACAGTTCAAATTCAGAAAAGATTATACTTTTTTCCTAGATAGGATCGTATCAACATGATTACTTAAAAATATGTGTTACTGTCACAGTTTTTATCAAGATAACTCAACCTCGGATGATTAAAATATTATACAATATAAATAAATAAGATCAAAGTCTATACCAAGAATCAATCTGCACTACAATAATTCATACAATACTAACTAAGAGAAAAAGATATATGAAAGCATAATACATCAAACATATATGAACATATCGAATAAACCTAAACGTGCACTAGAAAATATTTCTAACTTCTCTTACCTTAAAATAGTATTTTCAAGTTAAAATTTTAGAGTTATCTCCAAACTATTTTAAATTTTGATCGATTCATAATGTTTCTTATTTCAACAATTTAAACTTGATGTAACTTAATTTTTAATAGGAGAAGAAACAAATATGAAATCAAAATATAAAGAGAAAATATAGTTGGTTTGTGTGAAGGCACACTAGTGAAAAAAAAATTTCCACTGTAATTTACCGCTTATTATCAACTGCTTACTCTTATTATTATTATATCATGTCAAAGAGTAAGTTAAATTAGAATATTAAATTATAGTAAAGTTTGAGATAAGAACAAATTTTAATTTTACATTAAAATTAAAAATTAAAAACATATTTAACTTTTTTTTCTTATAGTTGAGATAGCTTGGTGAACCACGTTTAATAATCTTTTACTAAAAAAATCTGAATTTCTTATTTCACCAAGAGGTACCTACAATAGGAAACCAATCATATTTAAGGACTTTTTCCATACTTTCGGTATATTTTATTGTGATTCAAAAATAAATATTTTAAAACTTACTAATTAACTGCAGGATTACGAATTCATTTAATGAATGTACTAGCAGTAAAATGAAATCTGATTTCCATTATTTTCTACGCAAAGTAAGATCTAACCAACAGGCACCAAATTTGCTAAATTTTCCGAATCGATAAAATAGAATTGGTGTATTTTGATAAAATTTCATCTAACTCTCGTCGCACACCCTTTGGGCACATTCTGAAAACGTTCACATTTAAAACGCAGGTTCTTCAAGGCACCCAAAAAGAATCAATAAACAAAAACATCCAGTTTTCCAGATCAGTGAAAAATTTATTCATAAAAAAGTACTCAACTGTTTATATGTACCATTTAGCTTATTAAGATTGGTAAACTGTTCAGCTCACACGTCATCCCAGAATCTAACCGAAACAACTTTCAAGCAAGGGAAAGAAATTAACTCTTTATTGTATATATTTCTCCTCTGGTTATTTTACCAAGCAATTATACAACAAGAGCCGGTTGTAGGTTTCACCTGCACACCAGCACTGTAAATTTACAAAAAGTGGAAAAAAATGAAAAGTTATCTATAAAATAGTTTTACCATATGGATGCCATCACCCTTCCTCCCTCTATACAATGACCGCAGCCGATATAGATAACAAATCTGCTTTCTTTCAGCCAATAATCAAAAGATCAAATCAAAGAAAGCAAAATGCCAAAGCAATTATTGCAATGGGGATGAAGCTGTTTAAACTAATGTAGCCACCTAGGGAATCTGCTTTCTTCTACAATCTCAACCTTCTCTTTTAATACAAAAGCAGCTGAGATACTCTTACATAACAGGAATTGCGAAGCTTTCATTGTTAACCTGATGCATCCGCTTTTGTGCAGCTTTCACAGCAGCTACTCTGGCTGCATTGGCTGCTCTATTAGAAGCTGCTACAGCTCGGTTTACCCCTTCATCTACCTTTGCCACTTCATATGCTTTCGCTGCTGCTCGTCTTGCATCCTATTTGTGAAACCAATAAAAACAATTTATAATGAAAATTAGCTCATGGTGTTGTAATGTATCTAACTGTCTGCAATTCGTTTTTTCTCTTTCCATTTACAAGGTTGAGCTAATCTCACCCAAAATGAAGTAATTTTACAACAAAAATTAAAAGGACAACGCACAAAATCGAATGAATCAAATAATAACAAGGGCAAATATGTTTTTCATACATGTATCGATAATTTTAGTCACATATGTTACTTGTGACGTGTTAACCTATTACATGTTTTTTCACGTAAGTATGTATATCACTGCCGTAACAGACATTGACTGGTCTTAATGCAACAAGTAGGTAAGCAGACCAGTTTGACCTGTTTAAGGCCCAATCCGCGAAGTCCAAT